CTCTTTTGATTGTTTCCTGCATCTGTTTCACAACATATTCCATATTCCTACCTCTCTTCCACAGAGCCCCATCATCAGCAAATAAAGATCTTCCTATATTTTGTCCAACATTTTCATATACATCATCAATCATTATTGAGAACAATGACGGACTAATCACACTTCCTTGTGGTGTTCCATTTTCCACCAACTGGCTGGCCGACAAACACCTTCCCATTCTCACTTCCATTGAACGACCGAACAAAAAATGTCTAACCCATCTGAACATTTTACCCGATAGTCCCAATTTTCTAATATTGATTAATAATCCCTCTTTCCACAGTAAATCATACGCTTTCTCCACATCAAAAAACACTGCTACCACTACCTCCTTATTCACTTGTGCCTTCCTCACCTCTGCTTCTAGACATGCTATTGGATCCATTGTTCCCCTTCCTTTTCTAAATCCACTTTGATACTTTGACCTAAGATTCCTTGTTTCCAAATAATATGTTAGTCTTTCTGTGACCATTCGCTCCATGATTTTACACATGTGGGAAGTCAATTGGTCTATAGTTAGATGGATTAGTGGGATCTTTTCCTGGTTTCCTGATGGGTACTATAACTGCTTGTTTCCAAAGTCCTGGTAATGTTCCTTCCTGCCACACTTTGTTAAACAATTGCAAAATAACCTCTAATGCTAAATCAGACAAATGGTTCAACATGATGTAGCAAATCTGATCTTTACCTGGAGCAGTTAGCCCTGATTTTCTAATGGCCCTTTTTATTTCTTCCAAAGTGAAGGGAGCATTAATTGCATCTTCGCTCTCTTCATCTGTTTCCAACAATTCTTTATTTGCTTCACTTGTTCTATGTCTTCCATTTAAACCCTCCTCTGACATATTACCATAACTATGGACCTCAATCAGTGCTTTAGCTAACAATTCTGGTTTTTGCTTGATCATTGCTAGCCACCACTCCGCCACTTTCCAAAACTGGATACCCCCACTCCCGTTTTTCTCCACTCATTTTCTTTATCATCCCCCAAACTTGATTAATTGAAGTGCTTCTCCCTATTGTGTTACAAAATGATCTCCAATACTTCCTTTTAGTTTCTTTGATGGTTTTCCGTACTACTGCTTGCATTCTCTTGTACTCTATTAAATTTTTGAAATTATGGGTATTTTTTAAAACCTTAAAAGCCTTATTCCGTTTCTTTATTACCTCACTGCACTCATCATTCCACCATGGAACTAACTTCCGCCTCTTTGTACCGGTTTTCCTTAAAATTGTCTGCTTGGCAGCTCCAATAATTGTATCTCTCACATTTTCATTAAATATTTCTATATCCTGTTCTCTATCTATTTCTTTAAACCTTGATTCACTAATTTCTCTAAATTTATCCCACTGAGCCTTTCCAAATACCCACCTTTCTGCTGTATCTTCTGACCCCACCCTGCTTCCTATTCCTACTCTACAGAAAATGGGGTAATGATCACTTCCAACAGTAGAATGCTTCCACACCTCCCACACACAAATACCTGCCAATGACCGTGACGCTATGGTCAGGTCTAAACTTGACTCATTACCTGACTTGTAATTCGCTCTTGTGAAACTCCCATCATTTAAACATACAAGTCCCAAGGAGTCCATCACCTCCTCTACTATCAACCCATTCCTATCAGTCTTTTCCCCTCCCCAGAGAGTGCTATGCGCATTAAAATCACCACACCAAATGACCCTTCTTCTGTCTAGTCCCTTTATTGCCTCTCATGCTTCCAATTCCAATTGTTGACATGGATTGTAAAAATTTACCACCACCAAACTTTCATCCCCTAACCACACTTCAACAACTACATATTCTAGGTCTTTCCCTTTTTCTATTTCCTCGATAAGAAATTCCTTGCCTAACAAAGGTAGCACATCCTCCCCCATTACCCCCTTCTCTATCCCTTCTTATGCACACATATCCCTGAATCACAAAATCTAAATTTGGTTTAAGCCATGTCTCTTCAACACATATTATATCTGGTTTATATTCTAACCCATTAAGAAACCCTTTAAACTCTTGGCCATTTGCCAACAGACTCCTTGCATTCCACTGTAGGATTAACATGACTAGTCCTGTGAACATGCTTCTTTGTTCAACTGTTCCTGTTTTTTAAGCTCCTCCTGAACTGCCATCCCAGTTATCCGATGAATATTTAAATATCTTTCTGCACTCTTTACTATTATTTCAATCTTCTCAGATCTCCCTTTTGCTTGGAATGTGCAGTTAACTACTTCCGCCATGAAATACACAAAGCTCTCCTTATTTACTGTCAGTACATTCCCATCTCCCCTTTGACTCTTTGCCACAAGTTGTTCATTTGACTGTTGAGCCGGCTCCTTCCTTGATATATCTCCCCCCCCCCTCTCCACTCTACTCTCCCTCTGAACCTTCTTTGCTGCTTCTGCATAAGATATATTCATTTTCACTTTTAGCTGCTGTACTTCCACTGCCTTCTTTCTCACTTCACACCCACCATAGGCCACACTATGTGCACCCCCGCAATTTGCACATTTGATCTCTGTCCCGTCCTCACATTTCCCATACTCATGCTCCCCTCCACATTTTCCACACTTTTGCTTCCCTTTGCATGCTGCCGCAATATGTCCATATTTTTGGCATTTGAAACACCTCAAATGTGGTGGGACATAAGCTCTTACATTGTAACTCATATATTCCACAGTGACTTTAGCAGGCAACACCCTCTCTTGGAAATCCAGCAACACTGACAAACTATCAACCCTTTCTCCCCCTCTTCTTGCTTGCAAGAAGAGGGGGAGAAAGTCTAATGAAGCAGAAATGTCACAAACATAATCTTGGAAAAAAAAACATTGTTTTAGTGCAAACCTTCATTCCATCCAGCAGGTGCTTTCACTGTTCCGTAAAGTATCAGTAGTTATAATGTTACAGCCATACTTCTGATATTGTGTGTGTGTGTGTGTGTGTGTGTGTGTGTGTGTGTGGGCGCAGTTGTCACAGAGATGGCCTTGATGGCCCGTGTGAAATCAATTTTGATTATGCAAATATATAAGATGTATGTATCCATGTAATTCTTTACCAAAATAACCCAAATGCTATTCTATTTATAAACTGTATGTCATACCTCTAAGAAAATATCAATGTTTATTTTCATAAGCCTTTGTTTAACATGATGCTCCTCACAGACTAACTTGATTATGATTCCACATAATTTGTCTCCCTCTTATAATTGATCTCAAATCCTCCACCTTTTCCTCCACTGGGATACCATATATAACGCCTCTCACAAAGGGCCCATCACTTGTCTTCTTAGTGTTCTCAACCACCATGTTGCACACTTTTTTCAACTTCATTGCTTTTTCTCTCTGCTCCTTGTCCTTACATTTAATCAACAAGCCGCCATCACCCAGCACCTTCGCCATCAAAATTTCGCCAACTTTCTCCTTCAACCCGCGAGTCAGTGCCACCGGACTAACTTTCCTAATATCATTCCCTTCCCTAAATCTCAAAATAACTTTGAATCCCTCACTCTCAACAATCTTCCTCCTCATCACCCTGCCTTCCTCTCTCCCTTCCAAACTACTACCAGATCCACTATTATGCTTTCTAGATCGTTTATTTTTCCCTACTTCAGTCCAGTTATTGTACTCCATATCCTCACTCTCCCCTCCATCACTATTCCCTCCCATCCTTAGTCCAGTCACAGATTAGTTTTAAGCACAAACCGCTGATACTAATTCTACAAGCTCTCCGTCCGTGAGTTACATCCTCGTCCGCCGCGCACTGATGACGTCAACCTCGTGTGTTTCCCCTGATTGCACTCATCCTACTCACCTGCCCAGTCCACCCAGCTGCCTTCAATCTTCTCATCACCCCACACATACAGTATATACTCCCCTGCTTTCCCTGTTCTGGTTGTCAGATCGTCTTGTTCGTTCCCCTGTCAGTTCCAGTTTTGTGTCTCATTCGTGTTTGCTCGGTGCTCCAGCGTTTGCTCCTGGTTTGTTCCTTTGCCTTTTTTTTGTGATTGTGGATCTTTTTGCCCACTCCGTTCAAGTCGTTTTCAGTTTTTGTTTATGACTTTTAAAGTAAAATACCTTATTTTTCAACTTCACCTCGTCTCCAGTGTCTGTGTCTGCGCTTGAGTCTCAGATCTGCCCCTCGGACGTGACAGTACATGCACCACCAGTAGTATGTGTTATGTTAACAGCAATAATTTCACAATGTTATGTAATACAGTGTTAACCACAAGTTACAACTTTTACAGCGATTGTTTTACAACGCTAATGACGCGTTACAACGCTAGTGACACCTTACAACGCTAATGACGCATTACAACGCTAATCACGTGTTACAACGCTAACCGTTTCTCAACAATTCCCACGTGTTACCCTAACCACTCATTTTATTTGTGCAGCCAGCTGTTTGCAAGGCTCTTTTTCAGCTGTGTCTCACATAACCGCGCTTCACAATCACACTCAAATGTTGGCGGTAATTCTCTGTCTGGTTTGCCATAAAGAAAACGAAGGGGTTAAATGTTGTGATTGTCATTTCAACAGCCGTGTTCAATTTGAGACAACATCACGCTGTCAAAATTCACGTACACTGTGTACATGAAAGTGGATTAACGGAAGTAATGAGAAATATCCTTGACGTTTCTCTCCTCACTATAACTATTATTTCTTGATATTTATTGTCTGAAGCTAATCCTGACCGATACATTGGCCCCACTGATTTATTGGACTACATTTGTTATGTCTCTAAAATGCACTATAATCATTGGTTTCATTCATTTTTTTATTTATTTCATTAATTCATGCACTTCATTGTATTTTATTTTTATTTATTTAAATCAACCTAGTCACACGCAGACTCTCAGCCACATTAGTGTTCAGAAGAGGGGCCCATTGATAGTCCCCCCACACACAGAGGTTAAGCAGGTAGCTGTGGTTCATTTATGGTGTGAGTGTGTCTGCTGGGCTGCAGAACAATCAGAGGTTACATAAGAAGCAGACAGAGCGGCTCTGAGCACTGCGCTGCTCCAGCTGCCTCATCCTATCTCTTTAAATGAGACAGAGCTGGTCCGCTCTGCGTGCGTGCGTGCGTGTGTGTGTGCGTGCGTGCCTATGTGTGTGGAGGAAGGAGACATTACGAGAAAAGAGAGGGCCACTCTGTTGTGGAGGAGGAATAGGCGATCGAAAACACAACAGAGAGGATATTTTTTGCTTGGATCTGCGCGGTGTAGCAGAGGAGGCTGTGCATCGGTTCTCTCTAGCTGGACTCGTTCTGATTTTGGACCTGGATGCTCTTCTTGTATCTATGGGCTCGGTTGGCGCATCTTTCGCCTCCCTGTAGGATCTAACGGGCTGGGCTGCCTTCTAATAATTGTTTATTTCGCTCTCTGCGCGCCAGCAACGTTGGGAAAAACGCGATCGAGAGGCAGCAATAACATCGTGCTGATCATGGATTAACGCCAGAGTAAATTTTCATCCGAGAGGTAAGGGATGCTGCAAGGGAAGAAAAAAAGGGCCGGACGAGGAGGATGCGTCCATGGGTGCAGAGGATGTGTGTGTGTAGCATGTCTGTGCTTTAGATGGATGGCGGGGTGTTGGGTGTATGGCAGCAGCATCCACACTGCAGTCTGCTCCGCTCAGACGAGGCGGAGGAGACGGCAAAGACCGGCTGATGGTGTGGGTGTTCCGGCTCTTTGTGTGCACACGGTGTGGGCCTGCGGGGAGACGGTAGCTGATCAGCCGCATCGAGCTGCGTGTTATTAGCAAACACGATGACGTCAGCGTTTCTCAATGACGCAACATCTGTCGTTCTGATTTGAGCAGCTATGAGACTTCTTCCGTTTCGCCAGGTGTAACTGTGTTTTGCTAGTTAATCATTTGGACTCAACATAGGCTGCAACAATCCTCCTTTCCCCGTTAGAAGCCTTGAGGCTGGGTAAGGGCATCTTAGTGGAGATACAGGGATTCCCTGTACATCTCCTGTGGAGTTAAACAGTGAACTTAGTGATGACTGACCCACCGGTGGTGGTGCTGTGGTGGGTGGTTGAGTCAAGATGGCGACCGGTGTTGTTGATAATCACATTTTACTGTCAGTTACGATTTTTGGCTTCGAACAATTATGAAAACAAGACAAGATAAACTTGTCACGTGCCGCATCCCGTTTCGCTATGGCTCTCGATATGTCTCGTGTTATAAATCGAGCGCACCCCTCTCCTTCACAGCGGTGTGGCTCTCGGTCGGCTCGGGAGCTGGGGCGCGGGGTGACGTTGGCCCGGACCCCGGACCCGGTCCTCAGGGCGTCAGGGGTCTGCAGTTATGTCAGCAACCCACCCAACCTGTCGTTTACCATGTTTTTCAGGTGGGACTATTTTGCCGTGTCATCAACATTCATATCTAACCACTGTGTTTATGATGAATTGTTTTAGATCACAAAGTTCTTCATAGATCCAGCCTCTTAATGTTGCTCTCAAAGTGCACCAGATTGATGCATTTCACTTTGTAAATGTAATGTAAAAAAATGCTGAGTTCAGCTTGAGTCAAGATGTCTTTATTTGAAGAAATAATTAAATTTAAAGTTCAAGAAAATCCACTGGTGAATAGATTATTTCCAACAGTTCATGCACGATGTTTCGAAAGTCAGTGAATAGTTGTGTTGAATTATAATGAGCTCAATTTTGACCAAAGTCAAAGTAATCAAGCAGCCCAAATATATAGTGAGCTCTAAAACTCCAAAAAGCTCAACTAAAGGACTAAGTTGGAGTTGAACAAATGGAACACAGCTGTAATGCATTTAACCTCCTGAACTTCAACATGGATTCACCTGCATCTCAACAGGATTTAGAGTGGAGGAACACTCAGAGCCAACAACACAAGAACTAGAAATAAAGTCACATGTTTCTCAACAACACAGGGATTTACAGCACAGGTACACTCAATTAGAGCCAACAGGACATTAACAAAAGACGCCGCTCAACCACAGTAAAGAGACATGTTTAAGCCTCCTACAGCATTGCTGCTGCTAGCGACCTCTTCTTGCTACTGCTCTCTTTCCTCCAACTCTTCATTTGGTGACTGTTAATGTTATAACTGCTGCAGCTAAAGCAGGAATTTGGCATCATCGACCCTAACAACATTATTTTTGGATAATAAATTATTCATCTTAATACATTTTGCAGCGTCAGCCTCAACATTTTTCCCTCTACTTTTCCCGCTCCACCTTTTCGTTTCTTTGTTATCATTTCATGTGTTTTTTCATCCTACTCTGCTCTTGACCTCTGACATTACATGAAGGATCCACTTAAAGGGGTGGGGCTTAGTCAACAACAGTGGACGACTGTGCCCAAGTGGATAACAGGGCCGTCTTTCAATCAGCGGTTCAGTCCCCGCCTCTGGCTCTGCTAGTCGCATGTCGATGTGTCCTTGAGCAAGACACTTAACTCCAAAATTGCTCCTGTAGTTGTGCCTACGGTGTAGAAATGTGATAGAATCTGAATTGTAAGTCGCTTTGGATAAAAGCGTCTGCTAAATGACTGTAATGTAACAACAGTCAGTACTATTGCATCTGCCGTATAGACCCTTTTACAGCCAACGTCATCACAAATATACATGCACATGTTGGCAACTGTGGCATTTTGCCCCAGCCATCCAGCAGTTTGCATGTCTGCTTGTTGCATGTTCACGTGTCAGAATCGTTATATAATCGAATACCAGCAGACTCAAGTTCTACGGAATCCTGACAGGATCACGACTGTTTCAGAGCAACAGGAGTTTCACTTTAAATAGTGATGAGCGTGTTAACTGGTGCCTCAACAACCAGGGACGCTTCGGCTAAAAAGGTCACCAGATAACACGGTCACTCGTTAAACCAAAACAGCAGCGGAGTCTATAGCTGTGAGCTATCAAACGTGTTGACGACCACCGGATTGATAAAAAATGCTCGTGTTTAAAGCTGCCATGTACAAAACTCTTTTTCATGGTGTTCGGTACCTGAACACACTAGTGACTTGTAGCTCGTAACATCTCTCTAGTGAAAAGTAACACGGTTGGTTTCTCCAGCAGAAACATGAATATATCTGGTTACTAAATATTGGACCACTTGCTAATTTATTCTGGCCCCATCTGGCATTTGCCAGGTTGCCAGTTCGAGTCTGGATGGAAGCAGCCAGAAAGCAAGGAAAGAATGCCGGTTTTCTTAAACCAGACAAATTGAAGGGAAGGATATAATATTCAGCCTAGCAACATGAAAAGGTCAAAGGCTACTGTGATACTAAGACCTTAAGAGGGGAACTGAAAATAATATGGGTTGCCATTGAAGGAACAGTGTGTAAGATTTAAGAGAACTACGGTGGCCTTCAGGTAGAGATAGACTTCTTAAGGACTGTATTATACTAAGAGCTACTCTCATTGATAATCGCTTCTTATTCATGACTAAATAATTACTTTTAAAGACATATATAGAATTTTAAAAACAAATATATTCAGAACAGGATTAGAATTGATTTATCCTCCTGAATCTTTATCTGTCCTCCTGCCCCCTGTCCTCCTGCCTGTCCTCTGTCCTCCTGCCCCCTGTCCTCTGTCATCCTGCCCCCTGTCCTCCTGTCCTCCTAGCCCCTGTCCTCCTGCCCCCTGTCCTCCTGCCCTCTGTCCCCTGTCCTCCTGCCCTCTGTCCTCCTGCCCTCTGTCCTCCTGTCCTCTGTCCTGTCTGCTTTGTCTCAGCCAGCAGAGAAGTTAACAAGAACAAACTAAGATAAGCAGTCAGACAGACAGCTGCTCTTTTAGCTTGTTGGTCAATGTGCTATTAGCCGAGCTAGCGTTCTGTGTTGGTGTAATCATGGTGGTGGAGGAGAGACAATTAGGTTTATCTTTTGTTTAGTAATGAGTGAAACTGGAGTAATCCTCACTTCACCCGGTTCACTTCAGAGTCTCCAGCTCTCGCTGACGTCGCTCAGTGTGTGTCATTGTGTGTTTGTGTGAGTGTAGTTGGAGCCAGGGGCGTCGTTAGGCCTATTTTAGGGGGGCTGAAGCCCCCCTAAAATGTTCTTCAGCCCACCCAAATAATTTGGCATTATTGGATTTAAAAAAAATATATATATTTTTTTTGGTGATGTCATTAAATTAAACTATTGTTTCTCACATGGACAAGTTATTTATAACTCTAAAATGCTACATATGTGCGTGTGTTCTGGTTTGTATGTTTTCTCCCCCTTCAAATTACAATCCAATATCCTATCATCATACTTAACGATATAAAGTTAACTCTGTCAGGTCCATTCTCCAACCATTGTGTGCGGTCCCTTTAAGAATTAGGATTTGGGAGTGACGCGGATATTCTTTATTTGAGAAAAGTTCATATTTGTGTTGTCAAATTTTACTATGACCGTGAAATTCTGTCTCTTGTGTTATCTGAATGCAAGCAAAACTACAGAGCAAAATCACATTCTTTCTGATTGAACAAATCTATGAACTGTCTGAAACAATGGATATCCGTGGGCCCAAATGGGCCCCAAAAAAAATTGTGTGCGCAAAGCCTTGGGGCTAAGCCCCCCCTTTCTTTGAATCCTAGGAATGCCCCTGGTTGGAGCCCAGACACAGAGAGCAGAGGAGATGCTACAGCGTGATAATAAAGGACACTAAAACATTAAAAAGTACTAATAAAAGGCACCAGTAACGTATTAATACTCTGGTCTTTAATCATATAATACTGAGTTTCAGTACCCATCCCCACCTTTAGGTAACGTAAAAACCTGAAAGTCTCTCTAGAGCCAGTGTTAAGTTTGTCCGTTCTGGGCTGCTGTAGAAACATGGCAGTGCAACTTGGTGGACTCCCTGAAGAGGACCGGCTTCCAATGAAGATATAAATGGCTTTTTGTAAGCTAAATAAAACTTAACGATTCTTAGTTTCAGGTCAAACATAGTTATGAATATTATATTCCATTTCTGCCAATTAATCCTTCTTTTGCCCTTCAAAATGGAAAACAATATTAACTAGGAAAATGCAATTCAATGCATTGTAAAAAAAAAAAAATCTCCAAAGACAAATCAAACTCACCAGAAAAAAAATGATGAATGTAGAAAGTTGGAAAAAATGATTTCTGAACTTTAAAGCTGAAATAAAAAGTACTCTGACTGGAACAGAGGTGTTGACCAACAGTTACACTTGGTTAACTTATGGGATATGTTTGAAGTGGTATGCTACCGGTAGTTTAGGTTCCCTGATGAATGTGTTTTTCATAGTTTCTGCTATTTTAGATAGCAACGTATGTTTACTTTACTACAAGGTATTCGACTTTGGTTTTGAATTCAATCATACTCCTATTGAAACACATAGTTAACTGTCAAAAATAGTTTTGCCTCCTTTTACATATATGCTTAATCAAATTAAATCATGTATGAGTAATCCATCTGAGCCTGATGAATTAGGAAATAATGAATAGTTATTATCAGCTGCCACTGAGTGAACAAACTGGTAACATTGTGTCTT